AAAAAAAAAAAAAAAACCAGGGGAGTCTGGGTGGCTCAGTTGGTTGGGCGTTTATTCTTGATTTCGGCTCAGGTCATGATCAAGATTGAGCCCATGTTGGGCTCCAAGCTCAGCGGGGAGCTTGCTTCTCAACCTCTCCCTCTGCCCCCCGCCCCGCTTCTGCTCTCTCTCACTCTTTCTTTCAAATAAATAAATTGTTAAAAAATAAACTCAAAAGCAATTGCATCAATTGCCTATAAGCAGACCAACAAAAAGACTTTGGACTATTTTGGAGGATTATTTTATCACTGATACTGCTTAGAACTTGTCAGTGCATGGTATAATAAACACTGGGCCAACTTTTGGCCAGTTTCATTTATTTATATTTTAAATTCTCTACAGACAGTGCACCCCCTTTTTGCCTGTACTCCTTTTGCCTTTCGGCACATCACTAGTTGGAAAACAGACAATAAATAAAATGAGTAAATTATATACAATGTTGAAAGGCAATATTATGGATAAAACATAGAGCCAGGCACGGGGCATGGGACTGACAATATAAGGGAGGTAGGGTGTTCAGACAAGACCCCACTGCGCAGGTGACATTTGAGGGAGATGAAGGAATGAGCCCTGCTGATATCACTCTCAAGGAAGAGCTTCCCTGACAGAAAGAACTATTAGGGCAAAGGTTTTGAGAAGGTAGAGGCTACTTTGAGACAACAGGCTTGAGCAATGGAAACTTGATCCAGGCAAAAGGGCCCACAGCGACCCCCTGGCTGAATCCAGACAGCCCCAGCAGGCGACCCACCTCAAAATAGCCACAGGCCCTAACTGACCAATGGCCCTACGTACAACACCTTCCTGCTTTAAATACCGGCCCCCACCCCCTGCTCAGTGGGAGTCGGCTTCTCCCTCTCCCTCTGCACCCACCTTGTGCTAAAATAAAGTTAAAAAAAGAAAATAAAGTTAAAAAAATAAAGTCAAAAAATAAATAAATTAAATAAATAAAATGAAATACAGCCCCCACCCCCTGGCTCTTCTCTGCTGTCCTGACTGCCTCTCCCTTGCGGTGTATTCATTAAACTATTTCCTTTGTTCTGCCTTGGGTGAATCCTCTCGCCTCCTGTGCCACCGGCCCCCACCCCACCTGATTATAGCCCCACATTTGCCCCCCCCCATCCAACTGAGAGAGATACCACAGGCTTGGCAGAGCTTTGAACGCCCCCAGGACGATGGGGAGCTATGGACAGTTGTTGTTTTGAATATAACAACTTTATTGGGATATAAGCCACATCCCATACAATTTACCCTTTTAAAATGTACAGTTGGGGGCGCCTGGGTGGCTCAGTTGTTAAGCGTCTGCCTTCGGCTCAGGTCATGATCCCAGGGTCCTGGGATCGAGCCCTGCGTCGGGCTCCCTGCTCAGCGGGAAGCCCGCTTCTCCCTCTACCAGTCCCCCTGCTTGTGTTCCCTCTCTCACTGTGTCTCCGTCAAATGAACAAATAAAATCTTAAAAATAAATAAACAAATATAAACAAATAAATAAAACATACATTTCAATGGTTTTTAGGGTGGTTTTTTTTTTTTTTTTTTTTGGTTTTTGGTATATTAATGAAGTTATGGCACCATCGCACTACAATTTAGAAAATTGCAACATCCTCAAAAGGAACCCTGTACTGGCCAGCAGTCACTCCCTTTCCCCAGAATTCTCTCAGCGCCAGGCAACCACTAATCTATTTTCTGTCTATGGATTTACCTATTCTGGACATTTCATATAAGTAGAATCATACAGCGTGTGGCCTTTTGAGTTTGGCCTCTCTCACTTAGCATGTTTTCAAGGTTCATCTCTGGTGTAGCATGTGTCAGTACTTAATTTCTTTTTATTGCCAAATACCAGTCCATTGTATGGACTTACCACATTCTATGTATCCATTCATCAGTTGATGCACTGTGTTGTTTCCACCTTTTGGCTAATATGAACAATGCTGCGACAGTGCTGTGAACATTCACGTACAAGTTTTTGTGTGAACATATGCTTTCAGTTCTCTAGTGTAGTCCTGGGAGTAGAATTGCTGAGTCATATGGTAACTCTAAGTTTAACCTTTTGAGGAACTGCCAGACTGTTTTCCAAAGTGGCTGCACCATTTTACATTCCCAACATCAATGTATGAAGGTTCTGATTTCTCCACAGCCTTGCCAACACTTGGTATTTTTCATTTAAAAGAAATTATAGCCACCTGGGGCTCCTGGCTGGAAGAGCCTGCGACTCTTGATCTGGGGGGTCATGAGTTCAAGCTCCATATTGGGTGTACAGCTTTACTATAGAAAATAAATAAACGTTAAAGAAGAAATAAATTATAGCCATCCTACTGGGTATGAAGTGGTATCTCCTTATGGTTTTGATTTGCATTTTCCTGATAATTAACATGTTGATCAGCTTTTCAAATGCTTACTGGTCTTTGTATATCTCTTTTATTTATTTTATTTTTAAAAAATATTTTATTTATTTATTTGAGAGAGAAAGAGAGTGAGTGAGAGAGAGAATGCACACGAGCCAGGGGAGGAGCAGAGAAGCAGACCCCTGCTGAGCAAGGAGCCTGATGCAGGACTTGATCCCAGGACCCTGAGATCATGACCTGAGCA